CGCAGGTGGATAGAAAATCTGAGACAGATCACTACTAGCAGTTGACTTCTTTGTACCATCTTTCGTGAAACGTGGATTGCTTGCTTGCTCCAGATCTGCTATCTCTGCGTACCTGTTGGGTAGACACTCACTCAATGATATGCTGTCGTTCTGGGTTTCCATAGTAATACCTTTCAGCTTCTTCTTTATGATACAGTCCATTCCTCGGTCGTGTGACTTGACGATGTGCTCAATTGAGCGTTGTAGTTTGTCGTGGTCTAATACGATGTCCCATACTCGGATGATATCGGAGTAGATTCGACCCGCCGAATTTCCCTTGTTCAAACGGAGCTCCGGATTTTCGCTACATCTCCCAGAAAAGGCAATTGTCTTTTCCCAAATTATGCGATGACTTTTGGTCAACTTTGACTCGTAGAGCTGGATGCTTTCTTTCTTTGCAACCCCCTCCAGTCTCTTGCACATTATTTTGTTCCATCTGCCATTTGCCAGCATGCGAATTTTGTTAATGATACGTCTTCGCATACAGCTATCAACCTTTTTGCTCCTCATTACCTTCCAAACTCGATCAGTGCAGTCAACTTCCCACGGAAGGTCTTCAAAAGGAGATTTGGAATCAATGTTAGCCTCCGCATCACCACCTCCGATCTCAATGCCATCAATATTTGCGTCATCGTCTTCAGCGTGTTTTAGAAGGATCTCGTCTTCGTCTTTCGTCTGTCTCTCGTCATTTTCTGTCATACTACGGACCTCTGAAAGCTCGGTTAAATCTTCGTTATCATCTTGGTCTTCATTTGTATCCTCTGGAACAAATGCATCAAGTGGCGATAAGGCAGCTATGAGACCGGCAACATTTTCGCGCATTTGCGTTCTCATTTGCTGTTTGTCCTCAGCCTTTCTTACTTTCACGTCTTTTGTGGGAATGGGAGGCTTCTCCTGCTCTGATTGATCATCTCTCTCCACTGATGAATCGTTATCTTCTGTAGCTGATGAGCGATACTCTTCATGCTGTTCTTCGGTGGATATATTCTCGTAGCCAGTCGCGGACTGAGAGGAAGTAGAGGTGCTGGAGTTATAAGACTCTAGCGCAGTGTACAACATTTTGCAGCGAGAATCCTTTTTATGAAGCATTTCAATTGGGTGTTTGTTGGACTTGTTTGGGAGATTGGGGTTTACATTGGCATCCCGAAGTATCCGGATCGCACTGCATTTATTTGATGTCGGCTTTCTACCAGTACATACGAGATGGTAAAGACTGTCACCTTCCGTATTCTGAACATTTTTAATCTCAGGGGTTTTAGACATTAGCATTGCTTCCAGGTATCTGAAATCTCCTGCAAAGCGAAAAAAAACAAAACAAAAAAAAACAGAAACGACTCGTTTAAGCTACGCACAAGATAAAGTTGCTTGTTTTCGTGACAATTTTCTATGTAGTCATTGCTAAATTGTTTCTCGCGAATATAGAAGCTCTGACAGTCTACTTTTTTGACTACGTGATCCTTGCGCAGTCAAGTAGTTCATGACCATGAAGTGTACAGTTAAAATAATCTTCCTAGAGATTTCGTAGTTATTATTTTTTTTTATCTTAAAAAACGTTTTACGCAATCCCTGTAAGTAACAACAACATCTAATTAACGCTTACTGCAGGGAATAGAGGAGACATTACAAACAAATGTGAACCCAAGGACTGGAATGGTCATTTGCAAGGTGTATTCGAGACGATGTCATTGAGAATATTCGTGGTATACAACTTAATGCTTAGTGGTATGATTAGTTTCTCTTGTCTTACGTCAGGGCTACCTTGAATTGTTTAAATAATTTTAATCATTACCAATTTACCCTTTTTATCTTGGAGGCCGATTCTCAAAGCTTGGTGAATTATTGGCTCTCCGTTCTTTCCCAAAACGCACGGATTGGCCCCACTATGGATTAACTTTTCCACAAGAGCTAAGTTCCTTAGCGTCATTGCTTCATCCAAGGGTATAACAGCCGATTTTCCGATAGCGTTCGCTGAAGCTCCATGCTTCAGGAGGACTGATACTAGTGGGAGTAGCTTGTCAGAGTCGGTAGAACGGATGATTTCTCCCAGTGGGACACCTGATGCATCAGTGTCAGTTGCCAGGCCTCCATATCCTTTTGGCTGTGAAGTTTGTCCTCCTCCTCCAAGATACAGGATTCTAAGTTTGTGCCAGTCCTTCTTTTCAATCACGCTACTCGTCAGTTTTTCAATCAGCTGACTCGACACAGGAACTATGAGAGCTGATGTCGCCTCTAAGATTTAAACGCAGCTGTTTAGTTCACGGCATTACTAATTCAACGACTTCCGCAGCGCGCGCTGCAAGGGACAACGCCTAACATTAGCCAATCTAAATGCTTTATTACTGATCCTATACTTTCTTAGTATCGGACCGAATAAAGTTTTTTCATTGTCAGATTATGAAGTCGTGGAATGAATTTCGTATTACCGTATTTTCTCGATGAAACCCTCGGGGGTGGAGGGGGAGGGGTGTTATTTCGAATTGCTCGATGTAAACCCCGTTGACTAAAACACCTTTTGATTTATGGGAATCATAAATCCGAGACCCGGATCTCGAATTTACGCGGGGCAGCTATTATACGTACTCGAGCATGTAGACCCAGCGCTTATTTGGCCCTAACCTACTGTTTATTCGAGGCCTCGAGAATACACTTGCTAGGTCAGGACTGTACGGGGAGAACGTCGGTCTTTTCTGTATGGACCTTAAAGGCAGCCTGATGCTCCCATGCAATACGGCGTTCACGCATGCTTACCTCGTAAGATATCTGTCCTTACCGGTTGCTGTTTTACATTTCCATGTATAAAGTACAGTAAACTCAAACAAAGTCTATTAGGTGCAGTTACCTCACTCCACGTTTGTCATGAATTTTAATTTTCAGAAACTAATCTAACCCAAATGGCCTTAATTTCTGAGAACATGTTATTGATGTCAAGAGCTTGCGTTCCTTACCTTGAAGATTAGCAGCAATGTCGAGAGCGTCACTTAGAAGGTTATACATGGCGTTTTCATCGGATGTCCTCTTAAGACACTCGTTGATTACTTGCATCGATTCCCTTCCTCTCTTCAAAGCACGAAAACAATAAAGCTGGTTGTGATATCCCTAAGAAAAAATGTTTTGCATGTAGTTTTCACTTGGTTAGCAAATTTTAATATTCACATTTCATTTACAACAGAGAATAGGCTACGAGATTAGCTCGAGATTAGATCATGCAGCCGTTATTACCTCAAACATTTCTGGATTCATCATAGATGCAGTTTTTGCATCTTCCAAGCCACGTTCGTAGTCGCCTAGTCGTTGAAATGCTTGAGAACGTTGGCATAACAGAAGAGAAAACGTCTGCTTTGAGTCAGCAGGGGTGTACTTCAAAGCCAAATTCACGTAATCAATACAGAAGGTGTATGCACTTGACACGAAGGCGTGAGCTGCTCGAACTTCCCATCTCTTTGCTTCTTCCTGTAAGGATAAGATATTGGTAACCAATTAATTTTATGCATTCATAATGATCGCACATCAGGCAAAGTCTGCGTCATGCTGATGCTCATTTACAGGGCGAGAAACGTGTCTTGTCAATGCCCCAAAACACAAGAACACCGACTCCTGAGGCCCAGCTCAGAGGTCGTACTTCTACCATGCCGAACTAAATTGAGGAATTAAGTTCTACAAAAGGACGGAAGAAGCACGTTGTCTGAAGCAAACTATTGAATTAAGGTCAGCAAGCAATTAAATACGTTTGACAAGCTCTGCAGTACCACACGACTCTGGCAAGGTAGCGATTCAAATGTCGTGCTTCTGCCGTGCCAAAAAGATTAATACTTATGTATTTTGGGGTATGAGGAGAAATTCTACGTGGCTTCAGTAAAATCACTGAAATTGGTGTGGCTCAGGCACGAGGTATCTGCCATGTTACAGTCGAGCCTAATTGCAATTACGTTCGGCATGGCAGAAGCACGATGCCTGTAAACCTCGTAGTTCACCAACCACAAAAATAATTGTACCTCCTTCGATGATAAATTCGTTGCAGCGATGTCTGTCATCATTACGTTACAGTGATGTTACATAGAGACTCCTACACAGTAATGTACTCTACAAGGAAGTGCTCGATACTTACCTCTGATTTAATTGGTTGCAATTTAAAATACTCGTTTCCTGCGTCGATAGATCTTTTATGCTCGTTTAAGTTGAAGTGGGCTTCTGACAGACCGTGGTATATCTGACGCAAGATTGATTTTTCTGTCTTAGACTCTGACAGATAAAGAGACATGTAGAGTAACATTACCGCCGTTTTATTGTCGTTAGCGTCCAGAGCTTTTCGACCAAGTTGGAGCCACTGCTTTGGTTGACCCTGTCAAAGATAAAATACTATATTGAGCCAATCGTCTGGCACAGTGATGAATTTTGATGTACTGTTTGTGCAAAGAAACGACGTTTCTAAAGATCACTTAAAAGACACCATCCCTGAAATCTGACTGATTAATCATATCAAGTTCTATTCTGTTTAGTTCTGGAGCTGCTTTGTCAAACGACGTGAGGATAATTTGACCCGAGTTAAAAGAAAGCATTCCGCCATAGGTCCTATCTACAACTCAGTTCTCAGCCGAGATAAGAATACGTTCGCCCATTGGAAACTTTTTGCACCACATCTAAGAACATTACAGTTACCTCTCTGTTAATGAATATCCCATGACCAACAATGCAAGATGGATCCGCATTATTTCTTAGCAGAGTCACAGCTATAGGAAACTTCATCATTTCCATTGCAACTAAAAGCGGGGCTCTGACACAACCTCGCAATCCTGTCGGGGATGCACCTCGTTGAAGGAGAAGTGTGACAAGCGCGTGTAGATCTTTAACATCTGACTGAATCAGAAGGTCAAGTGGCACACAAGAGGCGTCATAGTCGTAAGCTAGGCCCCTGGATGTCTCACTTGCAGCCGTACCAAGGAAAAGAAATCTCAGTTTATTCCATTCTCCCTTCTCCGACGCTTCTTTGATTGCAGATTGAAGCATCTGGGGCGACAATGTGCAGGTAATCTGGGACTCTCCATCTACAAGAGGGGCGAGTTCCAAGTTTGTTTCTTAAGAAATAAATTTCATATCTAAAGTTGTCTAACGATGGCCTATTCTGTACCTGCAGATTGACTTCATCCATATTTAAGTCAAGGTCATGAAAAGATCTCTAGAATAGTAACTCAATCATAGTTATTTGAAATGAATTTCTTTCTTCGAACAATGTCTCTCACATTTTAGGCAGAGGTAACAACTCGTGGAAAGCTGTTTTCTGGTCCAACCCAGATAGATAACGTTTTTAAGACGCAAAACATCCCAACAGGAGCTCCCGCATATGTGAAATATTAATATATTTAAAAGCCCGATCATATCAGTCTGTAGAATGTATGCACACCGTGAGTGAATTTTAACAGTTATGTCACTGAGCAGGCTGCACCTTCACATTTCTACATAGAGGCAATTGTCTTCGATGACAATTCACTGCCCATTGCCCTTCTAATGATTTAATCTTAAGTAGATAAATATTACGGCCACCAACCTTCGATGCTCATAGCCGTTGTAATGACTTCTTTTGCAGTTGCCTGCTTTTCTTTATCAGTGACAGCGTTGGTATGTGCTTTACAGAACGCTCGCAGCGCTTCTTTCTTTCTTTTCAGGTGAAGAAGGCAGTTTCCACGTCGTAAATGCCCCTATGCACAAAATAAATACGCAGACATGACAAACTGAAAATGTTTCATTCTAATTTTTTATCGTACCTTTTTGACAGGCTTTGGCGGCATATCAGGCCAGGTTGGTCGAGCCATGGTTCGTATTTTGGCAAGACGTATTCCAGCCAAAATACTCATGGTGAGACCAAACGAGTCTGATAAACTGCCTAGAGGGTGGCAAAAGGGAGGCGGGTACCAATCACCCATCACGCTGAATTTTTCTTTTAAATCACGCATCACGGAGAATTGTTTTCACCAATCACGCGTCACGTAAAAAGAAGTAAGTACATCGCCAAGTTTACTTTCTCGACCCTAAAAGCGCCGTTAAAAAGAGCACTCTGCCGATTCAACCACAGGAATGCATGGGCAAATATTCCAAACATTTTCCCCCGAAAATGACAATTATTGGTCAAAATAAAAGTGGTGACCCGTACGGGAGACCGGGAGATTTGGTCTGTATCCAGGAGGCTCCTGGTTAATTTGGGAGAGTAGTCACTGTCTGTGAGCAGGCTTCCGACAAGCGCGAAAAAAATAAAATAGGGCGAGGGAAGCGAGCCTAGCCGGGTGGGATTTTCCCCTCTCCAGACCACTGTCGGCTTTATCCGCACGCCTGTTTTTTTCCTTCCCCTGCAATACAATTGCGAGCCTGTTCACAGGCTAAGTTGGCAGAGCTCTTGTATACGAATTGAGAAGACGTCTACGCCACCTTTCATGCTTTCATCATATACGGGCAATATTTTTGTCAGAGCTTTACCCCTGCAAATCCTCTCCTGTACTGCAACGTTTTTATGTAATAACATTAATAATGATGATGATGATAATGATAATAATAATAATAATAATAATTTAATAACTTCGAGAGCGTTATTTACACTCACTGATCAACAGCGCTTGACAACTTAAAATACTACAATTAAATTCAAATTTGTAAAACTAATTACATGTATATTAATAAAATAGAATATTCATAATAATGATAATAAACTTAATTAGCAATACTAATAAGAGTGAATATCAAGCAGGATACGCTTTAAAATCTACATGAAATAAATAAGTTTTCAGCTTACATTTAAAAATAGCTAATGTCTGAATGTCTGGGAATGACATAGCATTTAGATTCAGTTAAGCCCTTTATGACGACCTTCATTAAGTGGTACACAAACTTTTTCCAACTGTCTTCTCGAGTGGCATAAAATGACACCAAACTCTAACGTCTCTATCGTTTTAGCCGTTTGGGTCAACATTCTTTCAGACCTTTCGTACGATAGCCGGATTCGCCGGTATATGGTCTGATGCACTGCCAAAAATGATCGGTCGACAAAATGGATAAAAATAACACTGAATCTCATAGTCCCGATGCAAAGTTTAACTATTTTCTATTGACGTATTCCTATTGTGTCACAATTGTTTGGACCTATCGATACCTTGGAGATCCACGAAAATCAAAGACATCAGAAGTCGAGAAAAGGACGAAAAAGACCAGAAAATGGTGTCACTTCGACTGCCAAGATTTATTGATCTTTTTTTAAGACACTATTATTACGACTATTTACTTTGGATAAATGTTATCCTTCTAGTTCAAAGAACGTTCACTCATCACGGAAATCTAATTGGTAAATCATGCGTCACGTGCTTGTAAAATAGCAAATCACGCATCACGTTATGACGTCTCGTCCCGTGAACACGGCTAATCACGCGTCACGTTACTAATTTTAAGGAGATCACGCATCACGCAAAAACCCTTCGGCACCCTCTGCTTAAGCGTATCAAAAAGGTACGATCACATATTTCCCGTACCCAAATTCGTCCAAGTGACCATGATTTGGTAGCCGCATCTGGTCATACCCAATGACTTGATATCGCAGGACATCAAGACAGTACACACGGCTTCTGATTGGCAAATTGAGGATTTTGGTAACCTAGTAATTGACTAGTGGAGGTATTTTAGTATACAGGATTCTTGGTGCATGTTGCGTGTACGATGCAAACGCTAACTGTTGCCTTGGTTAACAAGTTGTTCTTTCATGAAGTAACAATTCATTTTACAACAACATTTACAAATTTCAGTGACAAATAACAGGACCACCTTAGACCAATACAATGAATCTACAGCTGTTTCGACAAACAGCTGTCCCACAATAGCGTAAAATCGTACGCGACAATGCCGATGGGTACAGATAGTTTGGCGTTGCTTCGTTAAAATTCACGGTGCTTCAGCAAGAAGGAAGGGGAAGCATGAATTTACGTGTTTGTGCTGTTTCTTTCTATGACGCTATAGAAAACAGAACTTTACCTTCAACAGTCAACCACCAATACTGGTAATACCTTTCAACATTTTCGGATACGCTTACACTCTTTTTAGGAAAACCTTGCTCAAAACAGCTGAATACGTGCTACCCAATCCTTCAAGGGAAGACCAATGACAAAGATCCCAACTCACCCTGAACCACTTTGGTCTAATTTTGGTGCACCTGTCTGCGTCTGCGAGAGCCTCTTTGAACTTCCCCAAGTTAATAAACGCAAAACAGCGGTTGCTGAGTAGAGCAGTGGTTATCTCAGAGTTTGATTCTGGTGTGAAATCCAAGGCAAGAGAGTAGTACTCAGCCATCAATTCGTATTTGCCTTCCTTGTGCAACTCGTTACCCCAGTTCTTCCACTGTGTAGCTTGGACCTTTAATGGGAAAATGGGGAGAACATGATACCAAGGAAATATATGCCATAGAGACGAATATGTGTTACAAAGAAAAACCATATATCCAAATAAAACTCCTTTGATCAACGCAAAGCATTTGACGATAGCCAATTAGCGAAATTGATTAACCAATTGCCACGCAGTCTTATATCAGTTACTGACTGTGTTCGATTAAGGTTGCTCCAACAAAACATTTGAAAGGTTCAAATGACTGGAATGGAATATTTTCCAAGTATCTTATGTAACATCAAAATCTGTGCTGATTTTTAAGGTCGAGAGGATATGGTTTTACACGTACGCCCATTGTGCAATCATGCGAAAATCCGCCGTAACTAAGTTATTACCTCATCTTTCTCATTTTTCTCCCTGTTGTAGGTTTCTTTTAACTTCCGACCTGTGTCCAGACAAACATCGAAGGCCTTTTCCTTGAAGTGTAATTCACAGAGATGCTGGAGTACTTCTAGTCGTTCTTTATCTTTGGTTGCTTCGTGCTTTAAAGAAAATTGTAGCAGTTCGATGGCTCTCTTGTTCTCGCCTTTTCGCAACGCTTCTAATCCATCGCTTTTAAACATTCTCTACAGGGCGTAAGTAGATAAAAAATTAATGAACAGGTTGTCAAAAAGGTCAAAAACAGTTGATTAATGAAGAAAGCCGAAAAGTTGTCAAGGTTGTTAAAGATCAAAAGGTGGAGTTGATTAATGAAGAAAGCCGACACGTCGTCAGTCCTTAACCGTCTTTTGACTTCCATATCTCTCGGTATATGGAATAAATTCTATTATTTTTCAGATTTAATTGGGTTTGAAGGTGATTTGCATTCCACCCACCACAAATTACTTTTGAAACACATCATAACCCACATATTTAACTCCAGGCCTTCAATATAATGGTTTTATTCTTACCACTAACTAAACGAATCCTTTACCTTGGGACGTTCCCCGGTACTGGCTCCAGACGTGACGTTCCTATCTATCAGCACACTTGCCACGTCCATTTTTCCCAACTCAATGGCGACGTCTAGAGGACTTCTTCTACCTTCGGGAGGGTTAGCATTTGCTTTGTGATCCAGAAGGATGTTAATGAATTTCCCTAGAACTGGTAAATCATTGCGAATAACTTCCTCCAGCGGGACACTGCTCGCATCGCATCCCGTGGCAAGACCTCCTGAGCCTTTCTTGTATCTTTTCTCTCCACCTCCGCCAAGAAAAAGAAGATGAAGTCTTTTCCAGTCCCTGTCAGTTACAGCCTTGTTGATTACGGTTTGCACCAAGTTTTTTGGAATGTTGAATTGGATGCTTGACGTGCCATCGACTTGGGAAAAGAGATACAACGCGTTATTAGCTTCTGAGCTGCCCGGCTTACTTGCTTTGCAATTAAGCTCATGGTTATGGCAAGCGCGCTGATGACAAAATATGATTGATCGACCGAGCGATCATTGAACCCATAGGCAGTCTGTCTATCAATAACAAGTTATTCGGGTAGTGACTCAAGGTGAGTTAAGAGTTAATGAGTCAATGACTGATTGAATCAATCAATCAATCAATCAATCAATCAATCGATC